CACACACACACACACACACACACACACACACACACACACACACACACGGGTGGTCATTATATTATACAGAGCTTGGCGAGAGCATTATTGCAATACCTATTGGCGTCATGCTGTGTGTGTGCCATTACAGTGGTAGGCACGTATCATGGGAATGTTTTGAACTGTGTGTAACGCTTTACAGAGACAAATAATATTCTACGTGTATCTACCGATTCAAAGACTTTGATGATGGCCAATCTGATGGACAGTTAGAAAAAGGATCAAAATTGAAGCCAAAACAGAGAAGTCATCTTTATTATTCCACACATTATTCTTCCTTGTCAAAACATGGCGCTTACATTACCCACAATGCACCTCTACCGCCAACAGAGATTTGGATGTGTTATGCTAGCCGCTAATGTAGCATAGAGCTAATGAGGAGCAACTACAGAGGTCTGACTACCTTCTAACTCCAGCCCCAAAGTGTTTGGTAGTTTTCTTGTAGTCTTCAGCCCCAAACAATGCTGACTCAAGTGACATCAAACTAATTAGTCCATTAAACCAGTTCTTAATCTGGGGGGGGGTCTAATATAAAAGATAATCTACAGATCAATCAAAAATGATTATAATAGTAGCCCTGCTTCCAGAGGTCCCCTGTGAGTGTCAGGAAGAGACTGTAGTTTTCAGAGTGTAGTTACTGCTGTTCAGTTCGTCGTCCTGATGTCGACATTGAGTACCGAGGCTCTTCCCGAGGTCACATGTTTTAGACGTCAGAGAAGCTGGAACTAAAACACCTAGAATCTTGAATTCTATTGAATTCGTTGAATCTTCAGTTTCGTCACATTATACATGCCGCAATGCAGTGCCACTTAATAATTGAGTTCCATTTACTTTGCTATAAATGGAAGGCAGTAAGTGAGATTATTGTGGATACCTATGAGCCTCTTGGGCTGGAAAGGAAAACTGATCTACTTTAAGTAGAAAGAAAAGCTGTTCAGTGAAGTTATGTACTTTTATGTGAATTGATATTATTTAAATGTTCGTGTTTTTCACTCATGAGGTTGTCTAACCTCAATTTATCTCTAGAAAATCAACTGTGCAGTTTGCTCTTTTTCCTTTTTTTTTTTCAATCACACTTTCCTACACGTTCACATCTGGAGGCAGTTACACAAACATTCACACACTTTATACTCACACTTTGCTGGCAGGCCGTAGCCACAAGTGATCTTGGCATCTCCGGTCTCACAGCCGTGGAGGGAAGCACATTCTTTCTGTAGCATTGGACCTGCAGCGCGGTGGATCGCTCCGTCCACTGGAGAGGAGAGGAGAGGAGATTCAGAGAGTTGGCCTACTCATAGGAATCCTCTGCAATCTGACTACTTACTAAGAGTCTAAATGTTTGAAGTCCAGCTGACACATTTACAGGTGTCAAAGCTTAGAGCTGAGAGGACGGATGATGTCAGGATTACTGGTGATAAGTTGTATTTCCTGTCTTCTGCTGGTTGCTAACTTTTCTCCCCAAATCCTGCTTTTTGCATTTTTAGTAAGTCAAAGAATCTTTCTCTCTGTGTGTCAGTCTATTTAATGGATTTTAGGGCCACTGCCTTAGCTAATTACTCCATTTAATGAGTTATTAAGGACTCAGCTGACTTTGACTTTCTGGTCAATTAGTCTTTATTAATGACATTTTCATAAATCTGTATCTGTCTTTGATCCACACCACATCTAAAGACTGTGACTGTGTTCATTTCCAGGAGGGCAATGATGCAGGAAAAGCAATTTTAGAGCTGTGCCAATTACCAGTTTCATTTCAATCTTTGCACCCCTTGCAGTGAGACACATTTCCTAAAAGTTTATATTTATACCATCTCAACCTCAACAGCTTCATCATTACCGTTCTCTGGCAAGAAAGCAGCATTTAACTTTAATGAACTCACACTTGAGACAAATTAAGATTTAAAAAAGGGACAACAGGTTTGAATGCTAAAGTGCAAAAACAAAAAATAATAGAATTTACCATTAGGAAGCAACTCTTTAAAGGCAAAATATTTAAACTACCATTTCTAATAGAAAACCAGAAACTATGTGATAACAAGAAAAGTATTATTTATGAATCCTTTCAAACACTTTTGATTAATAATACATCATGCATTGACTAAGAAGAAAAGAACGAAAGCACAAACTGATTCTAGTGCTGGCTTGTAGGCAGACATCAAAGAACGGAAGCAAAAGATGCACACTCAAGATTCAGATGAAATCTTTTTGTATTTAAATTCTATTGAAAGCAAGGTGTGCTGAAGTGTAGAATGAATGTAAAAAAGGATGCATCTGGGTTCCTATTGCATGGTTTCCCCCTCTTTCCTGTCACATTCAATCAGGTTTGTTCATAATCAAGAAAGAGTAGAAATAGAAGTTTAGGCGTTGCCACTTTGTCAGGGAACTTTTAAAAAGTAATCCATTTTAAGCATTTATAAGGAAGTTATCAGTGTAGAGTTGACAGGAAACAAGGGGAGAGAGATGGAGAATGACAAGCAACAGAGATTTGGACTCAAACTGGGGATGTTGCAGTCTCCGCTTTATACCCCTATACCAAAATGTTACTGAATGTTTCTGCAAAATGTCAACTGACAACATATTTCATTTGTTTTCCCTGTAATATGTTATTTTTCAATAAAACATCTACATTGTACGCCTAACGGCTAAAAGGATAAATCATGTTTTTATGGTTATCTTTGTGCAGTCAAAGCACTTTGGTACGGCTAAGGAAATATCCTCCTCTTGGTTAAAGCCCAAGACAGGATGCGTTCACTTTACTTTTGTTTTCCTCAACTCAACCACATGCAGGACTCTGGACGTGAACACGCGCATCATGAATCATGCATGGTGTCAAAGTTGTAAGCTTTGTATGCACCCCCCCCCCCGTTGGCCCTGACCAATGCAACTTGCATGCACAACATAACTGGCGCACTGCCTACATTTGAAAAGCGTTGCAACTCAACATAATACTGATGAATTTTGTTTTCCTCATAATGTAGTTGGCTAAACAAATACATTGTATAAACTGTAAATGCCACAGGGGTAAAATACTGCGTATATTTAAATGTTATTGTTACCAGCCAACGTGTCACCAGCAGTTGTAGCCTGGTAAGATCCTGCTTTTCTTTTGAAATAATTCAGAGGTCTAATGTAGGAGTCTGGCGTCAATAATTCATAATAAACCCAGAATAAAACACATCTGTCAGAAATGAGTTTGTCGCAGCACTGTGAGACTTGTCAGCGCTTGTTGAAAATAGTACAATAAAACCCATCCATATGTCACAGCTCAGCGTGTTGGCCTGTGGCTCTTATATCCGCCTGACTGTATACAGACCAGCTGTTACAGCGGTGGGTTTCGCCAAACTGAGTAGCTCCGGGCGGGGGTCTGGTGTTATCTGAACGTTATTGTGTTAAGTTGGCATATCGCATGCCGTGCTGCGCTGTAGTGTGCCATGTCATGCTGTGCCATGTTGAACTGGGCCGCACTGTGAGCTAAGCACAAGTGTGAGGTTGTGAAAGGCGAGCTCTGAACACCGGCTACCTCCTCTGGGTGCACAGAAACAAGCTCGGATACCATGCTCACGCTGTGTGTGTGTGTGTGTGCGCGCGCACAAATAATGCTGGTGTGTGTATCCTTGTCAAAGCACATGTGCTACATGCACAGATGTATTCATGTGTGTGTGTGTGAGAGTGAGAAGAGTCCTTGAGGTGACACACACACACACACACACATGCTGCACACTAACTTTGAAGCAGCCCAACTCTGAAATAGAGAACAAGTGTGATAAGATGGAGAGACAGAAAAGAGGGAGGAAGGGAGGGAAACAAGGGGGAGAGCAGCAGATGTAAGAATAGTGTGGAGGGAGATAAAGAAACAGGCAGGAAGAACAGAATCAAAAGAAAAGGAAATGGAAATTGAACTGAAACGTAAACCAACAATACCTTTTGTGTCGTTTCTTGTTTGACAGATACATGAATGTGTGTGTGTGTGTTTGCGCCGTGGGTGTGTTTGTGTTTCAATGTGTTAAATGGTGAAAACTGTCTCCGTCTTTATGAGAGGACTGCACTTCCTTTAGCTACAGAAACTCTTTTTGACCCGACAACCTCTCTGCTCAGGCCCAGACATGCACAATGCGTGGTTACAGATGCATACACAGTTATTCTTCTACACAACATACACAACACATCTGCATGTGTGCACATACAGCTCAATGCCAAGATTAAGTAACACGTGTCCTTGCGTATAACAGCCGTTTGGAGGACAGTAAATTAAGTCTAACCAGTAATCGCTGCATGTTGCCAAGACACTTAGACAGCCGACTAATGTAGCGTTTGTGCAGCTTCATGCTTCCTTTGACTTTGGCATTGATGTTTCTCAATATAAGGATAAACTATCCCAAATTAGTTATGCTTTATTCCTCATACAGATTCCAACAATCCACCAAATTAAACAAAAACACACAGTGGTTAAGCGCTCTGGTTTAGGCACAATAGGAATTTGTAAAGTTTAGGGAAAGAGGATGGTTTGGTTTAAATAAGGACTTTTGCTTTAATTGACTTGTTATTGGAAAAGAGAAACAAAAAACTGTCTTCCATTTGAAAGTACAATGTTTTAAAATCCATCTAACCTGGCCTCCTCCCTACCGTGGATGTACTATATAAGAGAACTGGATACCGCGTTCAAAGATGGCGCCATTGTTTTTTCCGATCATAGAGCATGTTCGGGGACAGGGCGCATCATGTCGAAATACCCCATTCGGCCACTATACCAACACAGCTCCAGAGTCCAGCACTGTTCATGCTACGCAGGCTTTGTTGCTCTGTAATACCGTACCCTTCCTACTTTGTTCCCGTCATAATTGCTACACCCATTGGGGGACTTTGTCACTTGAATGTAAACGTGCAATTTTGAGGTACTTGCCGAAATTAATGTTCTTCTTTGGAGGGCAGTCTCGGATATGCATAGACACATCACTGCAGTGTCCTTCATGACATTTCACATTTCAGGTGGCGCACAACCTTCAAATGCAGCCAACACATCAGAGACAGAATAAATCACTCTCTCTCTGGAACCTGGCGAGCAGGGTTAACAAATATCCATACACCTATTGAGTCTCTTTGTGACTCCCACCTCACTAATATAAAGAGCTGTCTCTCTCACATTCACTGAAAACAGCCACTGTTGGCATTCTATTCGGACTGTGGTAACGTTTGACTCTGTGGGAGCCGGTGTAACAGCCCAGCGTGAGCGCCGCACGCTACTGAGTAGATTCAGACACCGTTCTGTCACTTCAATGCGGTCAGAAATATGAAGGCGGAATTCATGAGCAGAGGGAGGTGCAAATGAAAGATCATTAGAAGTGAAGCTGCACCAGCAGTACTTCTTCATCGCAGGCACATATTCAGGTCAATTTATGCTCGAGGATGGCAATAAAATCTATTACTTCTAGAGAACAATATCAACCGAGTCTATCTGTGATTTAAATGTCATTTTTCTTTTTGAAGTATTTCACTTTTTGAAATGCAGAATTAACGGGATAATTAAGGAATACTCTGCATTGATTTTCACACATTTGTCATGGCTCTAGGGCTGACAAAGTCGGTCTGTCGGGCGGTCCTTCCACCACCGACTGTGTCCAACATCTCTTTGGATTACCATGGAATTTAGTACACATTCATGGTCACCACGGGATCAACTGTCAGAACTTTGGTGATCTAAAACTTTTCATCTTATGCCACCATCTAGCCAATAAACACTTTGTTTTAAAACATGCAATGTGAACATGGTAAATATTATACCCGCCAGACGCCTATTATCGGTGTTAGATTTCAGACACATTTCAGACACAACTAGTCTTGTTTTTATCATGTTGTGAGGTACACACACTCACACACACATATGCGTGTGGTATAGATGCATCCCTCATTGAGTCCGGGAAAGCCTAAACTAAATTAGCATCACTGCAGCGTCGGAAGCTTGTTCATACTCCACTGACTCTGTCACATGCAAATGGGGTACCTGAACTACTCAACAATCAGCCGTAATTAGCGTCACCTAATGCCACCAACAGATATCAGCATGAATTAGTCATGAATTTAACTTATATTAATAGACACAAAAAAAATCTTTTAGGACGTGTCAAACTCATTTCCATATTAAAAAAAACAGCATTCATTATTTAGGCTTCATTACCATACAAAATATCACATCATCGTTTTCTGGCACTGTAGCAAATATGAGATGGGATAGAGATATTAAAAAAAACACACAA